GTGGTTGTATTCAGATTATGTGGTATTTTTTGACGTCTGTATCTTTGTTGTAGCTGTTTACACTTCTGTTTTGATTTGCGTATTGCAATTTGAAGGAAAATATTTCAATGTATCAAACTCTTGGATCGAATGCACATTTTCTAAAATGTGAAAAACCTGATAAATTTCTTTTTAAGATGAAAAATATGATTTGTTTAATGCTCTAATAGTTACACAGATAGGAAATTGTTTCTTTCTTAGACCTATCAATACCTGGAGATTCTCCTACTGATACTTTCTTTGCAACCATGAAATTTAGAACAGTCTTAGACTTTCTCTTGGTACATTTTACTGATAAAATACAGAAGTTGATGAATGTTCAAGTCCTCACTTCATTCTGAATCTACTTAATGATAATTAAAAGGAATCATGACAAATACAGGATTAGTTCTTGTGCCAGATTGGGGATTATTAGTCTTTAAAACAAATAGCTTAGAAAGGTTCACTGTTTAATAATTATGTACATACTAAAGTTCCTAAGTCCATATGATACTGATTACAGTTTAAGTATTTCTTTAAGATGCATATATCTTTCAATTAAGAATTCTGCAATTACAGAATCAACTAATAACCATTTTAGTGGTTTTTTTAAACTCTGGAAAATTGATAGAAGGAGATTCATGTCATAGGATCTGCACAGTCAAAAACTGCAGATCTTGTTATAGCACAGAAAGTTTTGCCTTTTCCTTTTCCCTTAAGGTAGAAAGAGAAAGGAGATTGAGTTTATTTTTGTATGAGGCTTGCTCTTAAAAATCTTACTGTTGTGAAGAACTGAAATGAACCTCTTGAATGTTATTTTTTTATCTTTATCAGTGTACTTGTTGTGACAATTTTAGGCTTTTTTGATTTCAAAATAATCTCACATCCCTTTAATTAAAAATAAATTTCTCATTGATGTTATTGGTGGACTTGAAATTAATGATTGAACAGATTTGTACTCTGCATTTTGCAGTTTTTTAGTATCTTGCAACAGGTACCCTAGAAGTGAATTTGTATTTTGTAATGTGAGGGTTTTGGTAAAAAGGACCTTAAATATAATAAAACATGAAATTGCGTGTTTTTCTTATATCAACTGTCAGTAAGGCAGATAATAAATTGCATATATGAAATAAATACTAGGTAAAGCTTCTGTAGAATTGGTAGGAGTCTGACTTTTCTTATCAAATAACTGTTTTTGTCAGGTAAAGTGGTTATTAGTGTTGCCAGTGGTTTTGCTCAGTAAAACTTTTTTTTTTTTTTCATTTGTATGGAAATAAAGAAAAACTGATGCTGCGTGTGTAAATCCTCATTGGTTATGCTGCTGTCCTCAGGATGCTCTGCAAGCACACTGTGTGTGAGCCCCAGGTCACAGAGCAGCACTTAAGTTGATACCCCCAGGGAGCTCAGGGGCAGCATAAATCAGAACAAAAATCAGAAGTTTGCAGCACACAAAACAGCACATGTTTTGCTTGTAATGCAGGCCTTGTTGTATATATTTGACTACTGGAGTAATTGAATTTTGGGTTTTATTTTAAGAAAACCTGCTAGACTTTATGATTCAAAGAAAAACTAGGAAGTCAGATGAAAGAGTAGTTTGTGAATACAAATAAAAGCAACAGTAATTTGTTTTAATGTCTTTGTTTTTTCACCTGTCATATCACTCCTGTCATCACAGATCTGAATACTTCAGATTTATTGAATACCTATGTGTATGTATCTTGGCTTTATGGTTTTATTTATGTGATGGAAAAAATGTTAGAAATGGCTTTAAAATAACCTCTACATCCTCACTGACTTGTTTCCAGTGTGTTTAAAGATACTTTCAAAAATTCTATGCTACTATACAACATTTTGTTCATCCTCTGTATGTCAGCACTGTTGTGAGTGGTTGAGCCTCTCTTTTGTAAATTCAGAGTTCTCTGTAAATAAATCATCCCTGCATTTTTTAGGGTGACGAGAGTGCAGATTTAAAGCCCCGATGCTGCTTTACTCTTGGTGAAAAGGAAGGTGGAAACAAAAGTGTAATTTGGAAGAAAGTTTTCTGGGATTTGGTGCAGCAGGGAAATTTTGTCAAATGTATATGTAATTCATTTAACTCCTAAGTGCTTCCACCAGAACATGTTAATTATGTCTAATGCTTCTGTCCTGATTATTTGATTGCAATAGATGATGTGCTTGCTATAGGTAAATGTCAGTTTATAGTTATGACTAGAAATAGTTGTAACTTTTCATAAATTAATGTCTTGAGGCTCCAGCACTTTATGTTGCTTGGGAGTGCTGTGGTTAAGAAAAAAAGCAGCCGTGGAGAAAAATCTGTTTCCAGGCTCTTTTGGAGGACTGACTTAGATGTGATTGAAGGAGTTGCCTCAGTAACAAAGCAGAGGGTGACTTATGGAGACTGGTCCTGTTTGCCATTGCAAATTAAGTTGTCATATGCATTGATTGATTTTATATATTTAATAGATTTCAGCTCTCGGGAATTTACTTTTGATCAGTCTCTTGATTTCTTTTTCTTTTTTGAAAATAACAACTGAATTGTTAATCCAAGAGCTATATTTTAAAGTCGATAGCCTGTTACCTGCAAAATCCCCATCTCCGTAGGCTGTAGCTGCATGATCCGCTCCTGTGGCTGTGCAGGCTGTTTATCCCCACTTCCCCTTCTCTCCTGTTTCGGGCTCAGTGGGTGGGTCACTGGGCTGTGGATAATTCTAGCTTTGGGTAGTAAGTTAACACTGCCCTGGTGTTCCCACCGTAGCAGGGGGTTGACCTACTTTATGAAAAACTATGAGAACTCTTCATAAAATGTGATAGAGCACAATGGTTTTGGTCGGGGTTTTTTTTGTTGTTACTTTGTGGGTTTGTTTAGTAATAGCAGTATGATAAGTATGTGGAATTATTCTTTTTGTATTTAAAGAAAATCATAGAATCATGGAATCATAGAATCAACCAGGTTGGAAAAGACCTGTGAGATCAAAATAAGTTTAACTATGCAGTTATCTTTATTTAAATAAAGAAAAAGCAAAAATAAAATAAGCAGTATATGTGATTGTTACAGCAATGTAACTGTGCATTGTTACTGTGTCAGCAGTTAACATTTCCATTTATGGCTTTTAGCCAAGTGTCTACCAGTAAAAGTAGAATGATGTATGTGACTTCACAGGTTGCAGTGTGACAGAGAAGCAGTGGAGATAAAAAATGATGGTGGGTAAACTCACCACACTGCCTATGTCTTGATTTGTCCCCTGGTTCTTCTAATGAATCTTCTCCCTGCGTGTGCCTTACGTTTAAGCAGAAGAAGGAAATACTTCTTTCTCTCTTGAGTTGTTTTCACTGAATTTTTATCGAAGAGATGTTCATGGGGGAAGTAAAGGGGATGAACTCAAAGGAAAGAAAAAACCTAGAGTTAGTGTTAAAAGCATTTCTATCTGGGCTATTTTGGTGCGTGAACTAGTTTGCTACTCTCCTGTTTTGGAAGCAGTTGACTTGTTCAAATGATGATCAAAGGATAAGAAATTATTTAGGAGTGTAGTTATGTTTAAAATACTGTAGAAAATAAAAACTCTTTTGGGGTATATGTGGCTGTGAACTTAAGGTACATCATGAAGAAATTGATTTCAGAGCTATCTGAAATTCAAATATTAAAATAATTTAGAATTTTGCTAAAGAGTTGCCTGGTCCCATTTTGTCAAGGCTTCTGTAAGGTGATACCCAACTGTATAAACTCTTTATTGGGATATGAAGTAGGATGAGAGCTATGAAGGGAATAAGCAGTGGGCCTTAGTTACCAGAAAAGTGTGCTTTATATTTTTTTGTCATTAATGTTATCTCATGTCTGACTTCAGTGGTTGCGATCACCCGGGAGAACAGGGTTATGGTTTGAGGCAGGACGGTGTTCATTCTTTGAGGCTTGTTGTGCTGGAATTTGATTTTACTTTCATTCTGTGGGATTCCTGATCAGATGACTTTCAGGCTGGCTGAGGTGTGGTGCTGTTTGCTCCGAACTGGGAAGATGTCTTTTGTTTTGAATCACACCTCAAGTGTATCTTTATTCTCAGTTGGTTAAAGCATGGTGCTAATAACAACAGGGTTGTGGATTTGATCCCCTTATGGACCATTTACTTAAGAGCTGGACTTGATGATCCTTGTGGGTCCCCTCCTACTCAGAATAATCTATAAGATTCACAACCTAGAGGCCTGAAAACTGTAACCAGCATCCTTCAGAAGCTGGAATATTGGATTGAAGTACAGAGTAATCAACTATAAGAATTCTGTATATCTTTTCTTCTGATGGTCTGTAACAGCATTTATGGACTTCAAAACTTAAATATATTATAATTCTTATAACTTGTATTTCAATTTTAAAAATTTAAAAATATGTTCCACCCACATATCAAAGCACTGCTCAGGTTTTGCCATTGAAATGGCTATTTTGTATTCCCTTTACATTGCAGAGTCTGCTTTCTGCTTCAAGAACGATGAAAGACTTGTTTAGGAAATTGGTGTGTATTTAACATTAATTAAAGATGGCATTCAGCACTCCAACAAGAATATTTTTAAATGGATGAAAGCCATACTTATGCTATGGAAACCTAGATGCATCTGTGGGATTCTCTAAGACTCAGTGGCCATTTCTCCTCTTAGGCATGGATCTTGTGAATGACAAGGTGGGGGTCTCTGGAATGGCTGAAGATTAGCATCCCCTGCTGTTTTGTAATTATCAGAATCTGGACAGTCATTTATTTGAATGAAATAATGCATACAGTTTGCGCCTCCAAAGAAAAGCGTACATAATGTGATTGTAAGGAGAGGTTTTCAATATCTCAGTGGGATGTCATAGGGTATGTTTATAAACTCCAACCTAGCAGTTTCTCTGCAGTGAAATTCCAGTGGTATTGAGATAATAATTTGCACAGTCAAATTGCTTTCCTTACAAAAACCCAGGGAATTATGAGGCCTAATCCTTTATTAATGTCAACCCATAGGCAGCAAGAAAGCGTAAGATTGCCATTCGAAAAGCCCAGGGGAAAAATCTCGAGGCCATCCGAGAGCTGAATGAGTATCTGGAACAGTGAGTGTCTTACAAGAAAATACGGATTGTGTTTTGCTATTCTGATAAATCTTTTTAATTAAAATGGAATTTGCATTTAATTTACGCTTTTGCTTCCATGCTGATCATTTACAGAAGCCCTTGCACATTCTTTCTTTTTTTCCTTTTTTCCTCTCTTGTCTTCTTTATACAGATTTGTTGGAGACCAAGAAGCTTGGCATGAACTTGCAGAGCTTTACATCAATGAACATGAGTAAGTTGTTTGCTGAGTCCACATAACAACTGTTAATTTAAAATCCACTCTGTGTAAGTCAAAAACCTCAGTGATTTTTTTTTGAAGGACTACTGTTACAAAGTATATTATCTCATTTCCAAAATAACAGACATCAACAGGAAATAATTACCAACCTTATTTGACTACCAAAAGCTTTAAGAAAGCATTTGATTTTAAAACAGAAACAGTTTACTTAATTACATGTGTGTTTGAGTAATTTTTAAAAATCTGATATTTTAAAAGAAGTGGTTTGAGTGTAGCAGGGAACAGCACTTATTTCCCATAATTTTTTATTCAAGTGATGTATTTTACTTTTTAGAGATGTTAAATTCTTTACTTCTAAAATCAGTAGATCACAACAACTGAAATTCTGATTTTCTTTTAGCCTACCTCTCCAAGAACTTTTAGTAACCTTTAAAAAAAAAAGGACAAAGGAAAACATGGATCCAGAGTTAGAGGCATCTGGTCACCTGGGTACAAAACCCAATGCAATCAAGAATGCTGAATGTTGTAGTAACTTGCTTATTGGATATTTAATGTTTTTGTTAGCTTTTTTTATTGCTGTAGTGACAGGAGGAAATCCCAGTGTGAGAGGATTAGCTCAAAGCCTTAGCGCAAGTTTTCTAATATCACAGCATTAATTCTAACCTCCACCCAAAGGCGTATCTTTTTTTTTTTCCCCTCTCTTTCTTTAGTTCTTCAGCCCAGCCTGAATTATATCACATTGTTTCCTTCCTTCCTTTCCAGAGGGTAGTAAAAGAATCAAATTGTCAGGGAAGAAATAGCTGTTCTCACTGTGATGAAAAAATTGTTCCCCTGTCACCTTTCCTTCCACCTCATTCTCAAAGAAAATAATTACTAAATTCTTTTAAATGATGATTTAGACCTAAGGAATAATCTAGAATTTTGATATCCGGATTTCCATTTGTTTGAGGAAATTTACCAACCACTTTTCCAAGAAAATAGCTATTAAAAAAAAAAAATTGGCTAGAAAGACATTTAAGCTTGTCAAGTCTGTCAGTACGAAAGTGAATGATAGAGTGGTGCAAACATACGTATTCCATTATTGGGTTTGGGGTTTTTTGCTATAATCTTTATTACAAAATTGTGCAATAAAACCTGAGAAAGAAATTGCTTTTGCTTGTATTAGTCTTGGTCTGTAATTCCAATTAAAAATAATATATAAAACTCTCTTCAGTTCATTGAAAGAATTTACTCTGCTCACTGTATTTCTGTGAGCATCATTATCATTATTTTGATGATTAAATGGGGAAAAAATTGGGCTCTTGGCTAAAAAGCAACTAATTAATTTTTAAAAAGAAGACAATTCATCAGTTTATTTGTTTTATCAGGCTCACAAATTTAGTCTGGTTTGTGAAATCACCATTCTCTTACTGTTGTTCATAAGCACACACAGATATACAGGATTTATACAGTCTGTAGTTCTGCACTGTTCTGCAATGAGAACTGTGGCTTCTGCTTTTGGAGAATGTCATTTTATCTCCAAATTAAAATAGATGCACAAGTATGATATCATGCACAGGAGAAAACCACAGTATATTTATTTTAAATTACAAGATTTTACAGATTATATGGTTTAATACTGGCTTATAATTTCTAAATTGCTTTTACTGTGATATTAAATATCTACCCACACTGCCATTATAAACATTGCATCTCTGAATTTTGGAATCCTATCATGTAAACTGTGCAATAGTGCTGTCACATATCTGTAGACAATGCAAATTCTGCAGAAAATCCTATTAGTTGAAAGATTATGAAGCTAAGATTCTTCTAAATAAACCTACATTTTGAGCTTGACTTCTTAATTCTTTCTGAAAAAATTCTTTCTGAAAGCTTTCACCAAAAAAACCCAAGGGCTAGTCTTTTCAAATCATACGTTTTTGCCCATTTGGTCTGATGCTGTTTGCATACATAGATTTTAACTGTTCTTAGTATGTTTTTTTTTGATCTCACTTCTGTGGTTGACTGGTAAAGTTAACTGTCATTGTAAATGCTCTGGCCTGTAGCTTAGTTTGTGGATCCTCAGAATTTTCTTGTAGGGAAAAAATGAATTAATTTGTAGTCTCAGTTCAGTGCCTCATAGTACCTAGTTCCTGTTTCTGTTCATCACTCTTGTTGAAAAGATGTGGCACTTATTAATAAGAGATTAGGATATTAAATTCTTTCCATGAGCTGTTCCATATATACTCAGACTATTAGATTTTGTGTATTTTTTCCCTGTCTGTAATGTAAAAAGCGTAATTTGGTTCCAAACATAATTTGAAAATGAAACATTTTTATTAATTGTGAATCACATGATTTTATAGGGGGGAAAGTAAGACTTTTATTGTGCTGTAAAAAAAGTGAAGCAAAGAGCCGCATATTCTTGTTTCATTTTGTCACTGTTTTTTATATTCCTCAGCTATGCAAAGGCAGCCTTCTGCTTAGAGGAGCTTATGATGACTAATCCACACAACCACTTATATTGTCAGCAATATGCTGAAGTAGGTATTTTCAGAGAAATCAATTATGTTTGACTACATTTTCTGTTTTTATGTTACAGAAGTGGTGAAAATGGTTTCTTTAATTTTTCCCTAAGAGATTTCAAAGAGTACACAGAGAATGTTGACATCTCATAGAACTGAAAATGTTAAGAAAACTGTGTTTTCTTACTCACTGTGACGAAGCTAAGAGTTAGGGCAGGAATTACTGTAGATAAAAACTCATTTTAAATTAACTTTTCTTGTTGAAGTGTTTATGCACTTTTCAAATTAAGTGCATGAGAAGTTAAAGTTCCACAACAATGCTGCTTAGAAGGTTATGATATATTGCCTGTTACTGTGGAGTCAGATCTTGGAATCCACGTATGAAATTTTGCCTGAAGGAGCACTGGCAGAAGAGAGGTAAAAACTAGAGGTAAACTTAGAAGTTTTAGCTCAAGGTTTTAGCCATTTGCAGTCTTTTTTTCTTTTCCAGATTATATTTTCCTAAAATGTACTGTTAAGTCCTTAGGATGGGTTTAATTTGTTAATGTGGATTAAATTGGGTTAACATTAAAACTTGAAAGTATAAATAGCTTTTGGGTAGAAGGACTGTGAACGTGTCTTCTAGTATTTATCCCTCTTTTTGTTGATCTAATAACTGGCAAAATGAATAGAAAATCAGTGGAGTAATCCTCTAAACTTTGTGTGCTGTTTTGCAGTTGAGTGCATAATGAAAGGCACTGTGGTGTTTTGTGTACTCGTGTCCTGCATGTTGAGGGAACACAGAGTCAATGTGGATTTCTGGCAGTCAGAATTTAGCTTTAAAGTTTGTACTGCTTTTCATAAGAGACTATCTCAAGGTTTTAAGTCTTTATAGGTGCAAAGTAATCACTTTTGATTCTTGTACCAAAAAATTAATCAAATTGATGCTGGCTTTTTTTTCTCCTGTAGTGAAGTATTTTAAAATTCGTATAGTGAGAAAATCTTGGATTTCTCCCAAGCCAGTATTTGGCCTTTGGTAGGACTCCCTGATTTGAAATATCACGTGAAACAAACCTGAAGTGAATTTTCATAATATCTTCGCTTCAGAGCAAATGCCTGAGGTATGAACGACATGCAAGTTTCAAGAGCTTATCATTTTTACAGGTTAAATACACTCAAGGGGGTCTTGAAAACCTTGAGCTATCAAGAAAGTATTTTGCACAAGCACTGAAGCTTAACAACAGAAATATGAGAGCTCTGTTTGGACTTTACATGGTAAGCATGATTATACATTTTCCATGTTATCATTTTGAATATGTCTATGCATGTGTATTCTCCTTTACCATTTGCTGGTTTGGTTTTTTTCCTCCTGTTGGTTTAACTTAATAGCTCATATTATTAACACTGTTTTAATACTGGGTATGGACAATCTTGTGCCAGTAACTACTCCTTACTTGAAGTGCTCTTACCCTTTAAGTCTTGCTTGTGTTTTCCAAAGAATTATAATTATTGGCACATAAAAGTAACTTCTTGAAAAAGGATTTAAAATCATATTCCTCTCTGCAGGATGAAGGTGGCCATAGTTTATGTAGAGTCTTACCTGCTTTTAAAATGTATTTCCTGATACCATAGGAAAGAACGTCATGTTTTTAATGGCACACAAATGGCGTATTTTATATTGTCTCTGGTAACACATTGAATGAGGAAAGCTAATTCATAACTCTGACCTTAGGAAAACAAATAGCTGATCATGATTAGTTGATCATGTCCATGTTTGGTTCTTAAATCAAGACACAACTGAACTGAAGTAGTGTAGCTTTAATTAAAACAAACAATTGTTTAAGAAGTTTAGCTGGTTCTTATCTGGATGCCGTTTGCGAGTAAGTTTTTCAATTTTTTGTCTTTTTCCACTGTCACTGTGTCTGGGACTAGAACTGCAAAGATGCTGAATGTCCTCAGTTTATCCAGTGCGCATAAATTTTATAGTTAAACTGGGTTTTGTTCTTATTTTATTGTATTCCTAGTCTGCCAGTCATATTGCTTCCAATCCAAAAGCAAGTGCAAAAATGAAAAAGGATAATATGAAATATGCCAGCTGGGCAGCAAACCAAATAAACAGAGCATACCAGGTTAGTACATCTTTGCTTTATGATACTCTTAACATGCTGTATAGTTCTTTTATGCCCTTTTATCAGCTGCTGTTCAAGAGGTTAGATATGACGTGTAAACCAGCATCATTTGCTTGGATTTTTTTTGCATTCTACTTGTTTGATTTCCTAGAAGCTGTAATTAATATTGATTGATATTTTCCATTTATTAATTAGTATTATTTATTTAATAGTTTTAAAGAGATTTTTTTTCTACTAACATTAACTGAATGTACACTAATGTAATGTTGACTTCCAAGACTTGGTTCCACAGCTATTTTATTAAAACTTGGTATGTTTTAATTTTTAGAGTAATTTTGTTACCCACTTCTGTTTTACTAAAAAAGAAATGGAAATTCTAGAATATTATTTTCCTTGAGTTTATTTTCCTTGAGTTTACTCTGACTTTTCAAAATCATATTTAATGGTGTTTCTAATAATTACTTTAGAAATTGTGACTGAAGTTGGTTTTGCATAGTTCTGTAGAAAAATGCCCATTGAACTGTGAAAATGTAGACTTTTTAGGCCACAGTCAAAGCTTGCTGAACTCATTAGGAGTCTTTCCAACTCTTTGAAAAATTTTGCTTAAAATTTTATATTTGATATTGTATTTTAAGTCTTTATTTCTTTCTACAACTCTGAAAACATGTGTTAGGACATAGGTTTTGCTGTCTATGCATCCCAAATATAGTATGTCTATTTGACTCCCTTACAACTATTCTTAATAATCTGCCAATTGAAGTTTATATATAAGTAATCCTGAACATCATCATCCTACTGTCCAGTTCTCCCTATAACTTTTTTTTGAGCAAAAATGTTGATATTAAATGCAAAGACCTCATATGCATATAACATTCCTTTCTTCCTGCAATATTTCAGTATTGGAACCCCATATTTAATATTTCTCTTGTTGCAACTATTTCATGCTTAATACTACCAAATGGCCTTTTTACCAGCTCCATCTATTATAGAATTAAATGAAATTTTCCTTTTATGGCCAGTGCAGTTTTCTTAGTGCACACTTTATGTCAGTTCCTTGCCAAGAGTGCAGCTTCTTGTGGCTAACATGTTTTCAGTGTATTCCAACTTAGAGGTATTTTCCATTTGTCCTAATTGGCCCTGTAGCCTCTGACTGTATTTCACAGTGAAGAATATTGTAACCCTGAGTATATAATTAAGCGTTTTATACTTGTGTGCCTAACATTTATTTCTCTCTTTTGCTCTTTAAATGACTCTGCTTTTCATTAATAAACCACGGATCCTACATTTAGCTTTTTTGGTTAGCGCTTACCTAAGAACAGACCACGTTAATACAACTAATGTATCTATCTATCTATCTATCTATCTATCTATCTATCTATCTATCTATCTATCTATCTATCTATCTATTATCTGTCTATTATCTATTAATATATGGGTATGTAAAACACATGTCATAACTTTGTGACTTCATACTTTTGTGATACGTTGCATGCTTCAGCTGCTCCTGTTAGCTCTTTGGGACATAAAGTGAAATGTGTGATTGGAATCATAGGGGAAACTTAGCTATTGAGAAAATGTAAGTGCTCGAGCTGGGATCTGGCAAGTAAATGGGGTCAACACCCTTTCCTCTGCTCAGAAGTCCATGGAGACGCTCTAGTGACTCTGGCTGAGCAGGGCGGCCCCAGCCCAACCCTCCTGACCTGGTTACAGGGCTGCAGGAGCGCTTGGCTGCTCCAGTCTGTGTTCAGAGACTTGTAACATCCAGTGGCTGCAGCAGATGGTGTTTGGTGATGGAGTAGGTGTCGGATTCCCCTGTGAATCAGTGTTGATTTGTTGCTCCCTCTGTGAGCTGAGCGGTTGGAAAATGTCATCATTTGGACCTGAGGATGAGACCTTGGTCGTTTGTGCCAGTATTCCTCCCTTGATGGAGGGTATGCCTAGCCAGGTTTTAAGCTAGATATTTATATTATCTCTATAAATCCTCCCAACTTTCCATGTATTATCCACCTGTAAAGTAAGACCGTTAAAAGCTTGTTGGGTTTGGCATTGACATGTTTTATTGGTTGGACCTTCTCATACTGCTAAATGAAATTTTTCTGCTGGTCACGTTCTAGAGAATAAGATGCATTGAGAATCCTTTAAATTATGAGATTATTAATTCAAAAAATTACTTTTGAGCAATTGTCTTGCAGTGAGATCTTTCCCCATTTCCAGTTTGGATTTGAACTTGAATTACCAGCAGTTTTCTCAGTAATTTTGGGAAGCTGCCTTTATTTTTTCAAAGTACTAGCTGTAGTCGCTGGGGTTTTTTATTATCATTATTTTATTTTATATACAATTTGCTTGAAATATTTTGACTGGTCCCCTTCTTTCAATTTATTCTGTCATTCAGTCAGTTTGCTTTGGAACTTGGTTTTTGCTTTTCCTATGCATTCCTGCATAAAATCAGAACTTTTTAGTTTATTGTCATTTAAAGAAAGCAGTGTTTGAGTATAAAAAGGAAATATTTTTTCACCATTGTTGGTTAGACCATGCAGCAGTGTCTTTACAGGAAAACATGATGATGCAGAATAGTTAAATAATTCTCTGAAAAGCACAGATATTTGACATCTGGTTAATATATTTATTTTGATCCTAAATATGTAACCATCCATGCTGATTAGTGCTTCTCATCTGTGTCTAATCTAAGAGAAATGTAAACTTCTGCAGGAAGGCAGAAAGGTTTCGTAGCTAGAGCTGTATGGAGCTGGAATTCCTGACTGCTAGCACATCCTCTGAAATAAGGGTCATTATTCTCAGGCCTCTTAAATTTAATCGACTGGGTGGGGAAAAACCCCAAAATTTCATTTAAATTTTTATTAGTGAAAAATTAGTGAAGTACTTGTTATTCTAAGAGTTATTATTATTATTAGCTTAGTTTTGCCTTACCGCTGGGAAACTGGACTATTCTGTCTATGCAGACCCTGGAAAGGACTTCTATCTGTTCTGACCGAGGACATGAGTCACGGTTACTTTAAGATTGAAACAAAATGTGGCTACCTGGAGCTGTGCAATTAGGTAATTGGTTTAGCATGTCCCCTGGCAGAAGCATTTCAGCTGAGGCAGACAAGTTTGATTAATGCTCACAAGAATCTTTAACGTGATCCTGCTCATAGTAATTTTCCAGATACATGCTTTTTGGGTACATTGCTAAATTCTTCTGTGTTAGCAATCTACACGTTATTTATGGCTGGAGAGGGGTGATTTTGTTACTAACCATTTGGGAAGCAGAAAATTAAATCATGATTTTAAGAAATGGATTCCAGCTCAATCAGTCAAATTGGTGTGTAATGGCAGAATAGACAAAATAATTGTTTGTTAGGGCAAATTTGAAGTGATTACATTTCCAAGTGTACTTCTGTTTGTTATGATGCAGAGTTGGGTTTTATTTGTTCAGCTTAAACTATATGTCAGTATCATGAAGGCAGCCGCTCCTGAAATTATCAAGTAATTAGTTTTTTTAAACTAATGTCTTATGTCAGTTTTGTTTTCACTGTCCATGAAGAGAGTTCTCTTATTTTGAAACTTTTGTCTGCATGCTTTCTGTGTGTCTTGCCAAATGTGCTTTTTGAACACAGTATGTTTAGGCTTCTGTGCTTTTTATTGAAATTTCTCAATGATTTGAATTTGAAACAATTTTTCAGTTGAACATTTTGAGTTCTGTTTTTTAACTTGTATTTGTGAAAGGATTTGGAATCCCCAAGTATCTGTTTACTGTGAACAAAAAAAGGATATTATATTCAGTCAGATCTAAGCAAAAGTTGCTTCTCTCACTTCAGAGTGTGTTAAGAAATCTTGGATTTTCCCCTGACTATTGCAGGTCACTATGGAAACTCCACAGCCTGAAGAGTGGGTTTATGCATACTACTAGAATCATAACACGGCACATCAGTTAACCACCTGGAAATATTAAATGTGAAAATACGGTGTTTTCAGTACATCTCTTAAGTCTTGTCACAGTAGCAAAATGTCTTTCTCCTAACTGTTTAATTTGCAATAGCTTATCATTTACTGTGCCAAAACTATTTTTTTAAAAACTCAGTGTTGATTGGGGATCCCAGTGCTAAATTGTAGCCTGGGGTCAAAAGCAGGTTAACAGGTCCTGCAGCTTGTTGCTAGTGTGATATTACCTGGGTTTGATGATTTAATCTTTCTTAACAGGTCATGAAGAGTTTGCTAAATTAAGTTAATTACAAGAGAGAAGGGACACATTATTAATCAAGGACTAAATATGCGAGACACCAGTGGTATTTGAAATAAAAAACATCAGATTGAAAATTTATTGAGTGTTTAGATGTTAACATTTAAGTAGAGAATAGGCTGTTTTACTACAACTGAGTTATAGTTACTGCTTCTGTAATTTCTTCACCCCTCCCAATCCCAAATGCAAAACTTTTTAGTGCAGGTGTATTAAAAATGGTCAAGAGTTTCATTTGAATGAAGACCAACCTGGTCCATAAATCCACTGTGTTAGATATGGCTGATGAGTGATGGGAATTGTCAGTACTGTTAGAAAAACCCTTTTGAAGTCAGCATGGGGTGGTCAACATCTCCAATCCTTGTACCCCTTCCTTTCCCAGCCTTGGCTGCATGTGTCTTAGGGAATCTAAAGCCATGAGTAGTATTTATTATACTGTGTCTTTCTTTCTTATCAGGACAGACTTTATTTCGAATGTACTCTGAAATTGCTGTTGTAATAGTAGGCTACAATCAACTACAAGGTCATCACTCACAGTTACTGTGAACCAAAAAATATACGTTGTCTGGTTTATTTTATAGTAGATTTTGATAAGTAGAATTTTTCTCTGATTAGCTATAACAAAACCAGAAAAAAGACTGGCTTTAATAACAAGTCTAAGTCTTACTACTATTTAAATTATTAATATAGTCTAATTTGGATCACATAAAAATAAGTCTGAAATAAAATTTATGTTAACAGAGCAAACAAAAAAACCATAAAGATCTCTGTTCAGATAAATGTTAAATTTCAAAGTGGAGTATTAGCACAGAATATTCAAATTCAGAGCAAAATAGTGAAACTGAGTTCTACTCTTAAGTAATTTTTCATTGTTTCACAGAAGGAGGGTGATAGAGCTTGTAGTGTGGTAAAAATTCTGAGTTTTAGTGCTGTCCATTAAAGTTTGTAGTGAATAGAGTCAATTTTTTAGATTTGTTATTTGGAACTGTTATTTTCACAGGATCTGTGCACAGAATTTTGATGTATGACTAATAACAATCCTTTCTTTCTTGCTTAGTTTGCAGGTCGCAGTAAGAAAGAAACTAAATACTCTTTAAAGGCAGTGGAAGACATGCTGGAGACCCTGCAAATCACTCAGTCTTAGTTTGGCACAGAGATCCAATATGAAATTTTTCAATACTGTGCTCAACCTGTGGGTTATGTTACTGTAGTGCTGTTAAAAGTTAATTTTGTATTGATTAATGTACTATATAAGATAACATTTTATGAAAAGTAAAATGCCTATTTATTGCTGCTATAAGAAATGTGATGAATACCCACTGAAATGAATAACTTATCCACATAGACATCATAAAGAAATTACATGCTGCACATAATTTTCTTCAGATTTTTTGTATCTACAGTACCTGCTTCTAAGCCATAATTTGTAGAAATAAACTTGTTAAATGATTTTAAAAAATAGTGATTTATTGTTCTTGCAAATGGAAATTATGAATTTATATATGTAGATTAATAACATATGTTAAACATTTTTGTCTTATTTGCATATTTAAGAGTAAAAAGCATGCTACTGATGTGCATTTTCTGGAAAATGTTTACCATACAGCAAGGAGTTATTATGAACACACTTCAGTAGAGAAAAAAAAGTTGTTGTTAACGGTTTTCTTAATGAGTTGATATCCAGTACTGTAGAAAAGGAGAAAACTTGCTCGTGTACTTGGCTCCAGAGGTGCTCTTGTGCTGGCTTATGGCCAAAGACATTTTTCTCTGTCGTTTTGTGGGCAAATGCTTCCATGTCCATGTAATTCTCCAATCAGTATATGCATATGCACTTTTTTTATTCCTTCTCCTTTGTTGCACATATGTTCCACATCATGAATTTCAAAACCACCTGAATGCGAGCCTGCGTGTGCCTGTGTGTGCCCATCCTGTGCCTGCGTCTGGGCACCCCTTCGCTGTGGGGAACTGGTGCATGATCGGCGCAGAAACCAGGGGGAACTGCCCTGCAAGGGTGAGATGGGACAGCTTGTTCAACTGCTGTGTATTGGCTGGAGGATGGTGTTTGTCACACCATCAGCATGAAGCATCTAGCACACTGTAAATCTATACTGTGTTTGTCTTTAGGCACTGGTTTATTTACTCAGATAATTAGTCAAACACCCTAATTCATGCATTTTGGAGCTCTGATCGTTCTGGACGTTGTTCAGATGTGTACTGTGGTGATCCAGTTGCACAGCTGTCATCTCATTTATTACAGCAATCTTCAGTAAGATTGCATAACGGCAGCAATGTACCCTTGGCAAATTCTAATAAAAATACTGCAATGTAGTTTTCATGACTGTCACCATCATGACTTGACTTCTAGATTTTATACTGCCTGCTCTGTATAGATGGGTAGGTTAAAGGCTGTATACCAAAATGTCCTTTTTATGATCCTGGACTTGATGTAGTGAAACAAACCTGAGTTTCACTCAAAGAACAAAAACTTTCTTTGTGAGTTCAAAGCTTGGGAATGTGTATAACTGACCTGGTTGTTGCCTGAGACTGAGCCTTTAAGAAACACGTAAGATCTCACTCCTGTTATCCATAAAGTAGGTTGGAGTATGATAGTGGGACAGGATGGGTGCTATGCCATGGGAATTAATTGTATGTGGAATCCTAAATTAACCTAATTCACTACTGTTGAAATACAAAACTGGAAATACTGCATAATGTTATATTAAATTATCCAATTCTAACCTGAGGGAATAGTGCAGATCCTTTTATAATAATAATTCAAAAACTGGCCTCCAAACAGTATCTGTGGCTAGATTGTATATGTTTTGGGTGGAAAACCAAGAAAGTATCGTATGTGAGCCTGTGTATTTCTGTTCAGACTTGTAGTCTTTGACTGTAGGAGTGTGCCATCTAGAGTTTTAGGCCCTCGTAGGTGTTTTTTTTTCTCTTTTATCTACATTTCATGTAACTTGGTTGCATTATAAAATTAAAAATGGTGTGAAGCTGTACTGAAGACTAAAATTACTTAGCAGTGCATAACATTTTATCTCCAAGGTATTAAAAAACAGCAGTGCGGTATTTTTGTGCAGCTGGTATCTGTGCTGCTGGGATGTGTTATGTGTGTTTTATTCAGAGGCAACTTTTAACATAATGTCAGACTTGGTTATGTAGTATATCAGTTTCTCCATAAGGAAATTTGTTCTGTTTCTTGTTTTCAGTGATCTGATGAAAAATTTCATGTCATTTGGCTGCTTAGAACCTTTTCACTACTGCTTATCATCTTTTTGAAATTACTGTTTAGCACTCTGATTTGTGCGTGTATTTTGGCATAATTTCCACATAGTAGAGCTTACAGGTTGACCTTGCAAATATTTCTGACAAATTCAACTTTACTTCAAAGGTAAAATAAATTACTCCTATGAAAATGCGTGGGCAGTCTCTGATAGAATTATTGAATTGAAGCAGTGGACATTGAGGGGCTTTTCCATATTCAAATAAAAAATTAAAAAGCTTCTATCTGCATGGAAAATAATGGTATGAAATGCCATGCAGTCTCAGCAAGCAAGGAGCTTGCTGAGAAGGGAAGTTGTGATATAATATGATCTTTATAAAAGTAATTTTCCAGTTCTAGTAAATGATTTTGTAATGTCACTGATGCTGTGTTGCATTGAAAAATAGGTTTTCAAAGAATGGGTTACTTAATTAACAAATGAACTTGATTATATTTTGTATTGTGCTCTGACAGTGACAAATGCTACACAAAAAATTTATTATCAAGCATGCAGTCTCCTCATTCCAAAATAAAAGGCTGCGTTTTCATATTGTTTCAGTCGACAGCAAAAACTTGGGACCTTTGCAATGCCAGACCATGTAGCAAAGACTTGTGTCTTTATTTTTTTGACCATACTTAGATAATGGGCTTGATAGCAAGAGCTTAGTGTTACCCAATTCATTGAAGAGCCACCAAAACCTCACATTCTGCCCTTGTGATGCAAGTTACTGGTGGCTTAAAAACATTTTGTCCAAATGTTATACAATTCATATTATGTAGTTGCAAAAAGCAGATCTTGTCTAGTATATATCCCTAAATCTCTTCAGATCAGTGCCCAGAATATCTTGCAGTTGCTATTGGAAACTCTGTTATTAGTCAACGGAGGACTTCCTCTTGGCAGTGCTGTATTTGTAATGGCATCCATGTTTGCTAGTCACTGCATTTACAGTGGAACTTGTATTTCAGCCAGCCTCAGAAGGGAGGGGAAAAGGAAAGCAAATTAAACTTGACTTACTGGCATGAATTTGTTAGCTTCTTGTTACTTGCACTCTCATCTTCCAAGAACACCAACTGTAGCTGCAGTCAGGTTTGCAGTAATAATTCTTTTTGTAACTCAAGAGCTTCTATATATTCAACTCTAAACCCAACACTCCATTAAAATCTAAACCATACAGATTCCAGTGAAATGGTGCTATGTGATGTGCACGTACCCCTGTATGCAGGAAAGGACTACTCCCACCCTCCCTCAGGTTGGTGTCAGAGTGGAGCAGCATTAGAACAGTTCTGGAGTGTGGTTTTGTCTAGAAAATTAATGCTACTTAATATGCCTCAAAATATTGGTTAGTACTTCCATTGTTCAGTGCATGAATAGAATCCTAGGACTAACTGTTGCTTAACTACAGATACTTGAGTCTATGTGGAAAATAAAGTACCTGAAATAGTCATAAGTCTTCTCTGGAATGACTCTGGAACCTTAGAGATCCTCTTGATAGGCACTAGTTGGAAGTTAGATTCAGGCAGCGACTAGTTTTCAGAAATAAATGGCTCATTAATTTACCTGCCTCTTAAACAGCAAACCAAAAATAAATCCCCCAAAAAACAAAACCCCAAACAAAACTATGGAAAACCAACCCCCCCAAAGTCACCTCCGGTAAAGTTGTTTTTCAGCTGCTGGATGTGAAATGGAAAACCTTAGTCAGTGCACTTCACAGGTGAGTTTACTTTGCTCTCTGTGGAGGAAGCCCCCTATAGCAAGCAGTACGATCCTTTCAATGCTTGTCAGGGAAGGAAGAAAGGCTGGAGAACAGCACATAGGCCTGTTTGACCCACGTACAATAGTAGGACCTCCACTGGCATGTTGCAAAGAACATGCCTCTCACCTGCGCTTGGGATCCCAGAGGTGAACGTTCCTGGTGAAAAGGGCTAAGTGAGAATGGACCAGCACAACCAGAGCCTGCAGAGTTGGTGCCCATGCTCAGAGACCCAGCACAGCACCTGAGCTCCACCAGCTGTCAGATGGGCTGCACGCTGGCACGAGTCTCTCCTGCAGGTTTTTGCTCCTACTAAAGACTGGCCTGTCCTCTGTTTTAACTTTTCTCCCCCCGGGCCTTTGCACAGCTGGAGTCTTGCAGAAAATCCATGCTGATGTGATACTGTGTGATTTTCACTGTGAGTTTAGGTGCGGAACTGAGGGTGTAGATTTGCGAGGAATCAGTTTGTTGGATTGATCCTGGCTCTGAAGGTTTTGCACATTATTGGCTTCAGTGCACACCTAAAGGTCAGCATGTAAGCCTTTGCCTAGGACTGAAAGGATCTCAGACCTGTCCTGTCAAATATCCAGAGTCTGCTTCACTCCTCTGTGGAGGCTTGACAAAGAATGGACGAGGTTGGATGTGATCCGTGCTGAGTGCCCTGCAAGTGTATGGAAAGACCTATTACTCATGGTGATGTGGTGACTGCAGTTCCACAGTCACTGGGCCTTTGTGTGTGTGTGTGTGTGAAACAGCATGGAGTGAATAACTGGGAAAACACTTCCAGATGGGAGCCTGTTATCCAAGGTCAAAGGGATGACTGGAGGGAGGAAGAACCACCTTTTCAACTTTAGGGAGTCAGCAGAGGTCCTCTAGCTCTCTGCTCTGCAGAAGGTGACAAAATGTGCTGCATTTTTGCATTGCCTAAATAATGAGAGGTGTAAGGTTGTGTTTAAAAAAAAATCGAAATTGTAGAGCAAATGTGTTTTTGTCATCCGTGTGTATTTTAGCTGCTTTCAGTGTGACCTGGTTGATGTTAGGGTTCCTCATTTGGGCAGCACGTAGGCATCTACCTCAAGGCTACCAGTGGAGAAAGACACATTTAGAGGGACTGCTCACTTCAGAAAAGTTCCTCATGGGCTTCCATCATGGCAGGTCATGACCTGTTTGCATTGGCAACAGAATCACGGCTTGTCCCGCAGACGGAGCTTGCTTAAATAAGGTTCCTCTTAGGATCAAGGCTAATTTTCCCCAAAGAATGAAGGATCTTTTCCCAAATTTATACAGTTTTTATGTAGTGAGCTTTTAGGTTTTGGACATGATGTTTGGAAGTGAAACTTTAAACCAGGCAGATGTAATCCTCCCAGGAAGAGACTGCAAAAATCAACGCTGAAGCAGTTTCAAAAAAGTGAGCTGCAAGTAAAATTAACCATTGCCTCTGTTTATTTAGGTAATTGAGCTTGACACAGTGGTGTGTCTGACAAGCTGCTCTGTGTTTTTTATTCCATTAAATACAGCTATGACACTTAAAGCTGTCACTGCCCATCTGAGAATATTTGTTTCAGTTTAGACTTTGAAAACTGTGTAAATGTGGATAGATCACGAGGTGGGCAGTAGTGTAAGAAAACTACCCAGTAGAACTGTATCTTTCCCTGGACAGCTGCTACAGTTTATTCTGCTTAAGTTAGAATCAAGAATGAAAACCATGAAAAATTATTAATAGGTCTATTAAAAGTCAATAGCTGCTGTGTCTGTTTTATTTTGAAATCAATGTTATGGCCTTATTTTTTAATTGATTATTCAATGGACTGCTTGGCCATTATTAGCAGGCCTTATTGTAAGCTGGAAATACCTTTGAAAGATTCAAAGGGAGGATGAAAACTCTGAGAAATCTAAAAATCCCTTGGCCTTGCTGACTGCAACTGAAATAAATTGTATATAAAATGAACACAGAATCTCTGTTTTAAGCATATCAATAACATTTAGTGACCTGTAACAATATTGTAATTGTAGTCATGCCAAGCTTTTTGATCAAAACTTCCCAGAAATGTGATGTCTGTATGGAGCCAAAAGCTCTAATAAGCTTTTAAGTAAACTTTGATTTAGTTAAGTGTAGACACCACCCAGACATAGAAAGGAGCCTTTGCTAATACAGAAAATTTACTCCTCTTGGGAAGCTCCAATATTCAGGTAATTCTGAGCCTGATTAGCCATATGAAAGAAACAGCTACACCTATTATCAGAGTTGTTTCAAGGAACAGCAAGGCTTTTCCACATACAAACCATCTTCTCAGTAAAGCAGAGATGTAAATGGGGTCATTTGGAAGCAACTTAGAGAACAAATCAATATATGATACCATCACTTTGTGAGGGAATTGGATGGAAAAGTCTAGCAAGAGATTTATCTCTCTTTCTCCTTAGACCATTTTTTTTTTTAATGCGAAGTTTGCTGAAGAAAAAGCCCTCTATGAAGGAAGTTCAGGGGTTCAGCTGTTTAACTACATACTGTACATAATGTGAATTTTGGTGGGAATGAGCCTGAGAGGCTGTTGGGTGGCTGAGGTCAGTGCAAGGAGCAGCATCTTACGCCGGTTCCAGGTTGAGAGCACCTGGGCCTTCTGTGCCAAGGCAGTAGGGCCTGGTGCCCCACTCTAAAATCTGCCTTCAAGATAAGAACAGTCTTTCTCATGTTTTTTCAATGCCCAACTGTCCTAATCAATTTTCTGAATACCTGTATAACATGAACAGGGCTTTTAAAAAAAATTCCAGTGATTTCCCAGTTCAGAGGGGATCAATGATCCAATTTATTCCTTCCAGCTCTAGGCAGCATACATACAAATATTTTGTTCAAAATGTGCTCCTGGGCCCTATTTCTGGATTGCTATTTAGGCAACAAAATAAGGGATGGAATTCTCCAAGTCATCGGCTCCCAGTTGGCCTTGCTGGCACTTTTTTGATTCCAATTTTTTTTTGAAATCAGACCACATATTTAAGTGCTTAAGTGCTTAGACATGGATTTGATTCTTAAATTTAGGCACCAATTTTTTTTTTTCTTTTATTTTGTGTCCTTAATTTGCCAGACTCCTAAGTGGAAGCAGAACAGATAGTTGTCTCAATTGCCCTGGCTCTGTGTTTGTAAGCAGCTGAAGAGTGACTTTTAATATATGGCCATCTGCGCCTAAAGTCATAGGAAGAAAGCAATGAAAGTGACTGCTGACTAATGCAGTAAGATCAACATTTTAAACAAAATCAATGAAAGGCTGCAGAGACTGGAAATAGTAAGAGTTAGTGAGGTTAAAGATCTACTTGAATTAGAGAAGATGTAACGAAGTCTGTGCTCTGCGGGGCCCTGGAGGAGCCACGTGGTCTCTTTTCTTCATGCCTCATCCATTCCCACAGTCTCTT